TCCTCTGGAATGTCACAGGACATGGTGTTGGGCACCTTCCCACCCCTTGAGAAGGTCCCCAAATCCTCGTGAGCTCCTCCCTCCCGGCCCTACGGCATTCCCAAAATCCCTTCCCGGGGTTATCCCAGCCACGCCAGCATTCCCAAAATCCCTGCTGGAGTATCCCAGCTGACCTCTCCTCTGGCATGTCACAGGACATGTTGTTGGGTTTGAGCTGGACCCACTCCCTGGTGTTGAGGTCCAGCCTGTGCAGGTCGGTGCTGTAGATGTAGCCGGTGGTGCCCCCGAACACGTAGAGACACCCGTTGATGATGGCCATGGCCTGGGGGGAAAAACCAGGGACAAAGGCACCTCTGGGGCCGGAAAACTGGGAATTCCCACCCTTCCCAACCCCAGGGGAGAAGGGGAGGGGGCTTTTCCCTGCTAAAAAATGCCTCGGGAAGGGCAGGGAAAGGGGGCACTGCTGGGGGAGGGGATCTCCGGACAACACCAGGATGTCCCAGGAGGCCCTAAAAGGTGTTGTTCTAATAAAAATAAGATCTAAAAGTTGTTCTTCTAATAAAAATAAGTGTTCTAATAAAAATAAGACCTAAAAGTTGTTCTTCTAATAAAAATAAGACCCAGAAGTTGCTGTTCTAATAAAAATAAGACCCAGAAGTTGCTGTTCTAATAAAAATAAGACCTAAAAATTGTTCCTCTAATAAAAATAAGCCCTAAAAGTTGTTCTTCTAATAAAAATAAGACCTAGAAGTTGCTGTTCTAATAAAAATAAAACCTAAAAGTTGTTCTAATAAAAGCCCTAAAAGTTGTTCTAATAAAAATAAGACCTAAAAATTGTTCTTCTAATAAAAATAAGACCTAGAAGTTGCTGTTCTAATAAAAATAAGCCCTAAAAGTTGTTCTTCTAATAAAAATAAGACCTAAAAGTTTTTGTTCTAATAAAAATAAGACCTAGAAGTTGCTGTTCTAATAAAAATAAAACCTAAAAGTTGTTGTTCTAATAAAAATAAGACCTTAAAGTCGCTGTTCTAATAAAAGTAAGACCTAAAATGTGTTGTTCTAATGAAAATAAGACCTAAAAGTTTTCATTCTAAGAAAAATAAGACCTAAAAGTCATTGTTCTAATAAAAATAAGACCTAAAAATTGTTCTTCTAATAAAAATAAGACCTAAAAGGTGTTGTTCTAATAAAAATAAGCCCTAAAAGTTCTTGTTCTAATAAAAATAAGACCTAGAAGTTGTTCTCCTAACAAAAATAAGTGTTCTAATAAAAATAAGATCTAAAAGTCGTTCTAATACAAATAAGCCCTAAACGTTGTTGTTCTACTAAAAATAAGACCTAAAAGTTGTTGTTCTAATAAAAATAAGCCCTAAAAGTTGCTGTTCTAATAAAAATAAGACCTAAAAATTGTCCTTCTCATAAAAATAAGACCTAAAAGTTGTTCTAATAAAAGCCCTAAAAGTTGTTCTTCTAATGAAAATAAGACCTAAAAGTTGCTGTTCTAAAAAAAATAAGCCCTAAAAGTCGTTGTTCTGATAAAAATAAGACCTAGAATCCCCGTTTTTTTGGAGTTAGAGGTTTGTATTTAGAGTTTGGGGCTTGAAAATAAGACCTACAAATGAGGGTTTTCATAAAGGGTTTTGGAGTTTGCATTTGGAGTTTGGGGTATGGAAATAAAACCTAAATCCACTGTTTTCATTTGAAGTTTTGGGGATTGGAAATAAAACCTAAACCCACTGTTTGCATTTGGGGTTTTGGGGATTGGAAATAAAACCTACAAACCCCTGTTTGCATTTAAGAGTTTTGGGGTTGATCTGCAAACCCCCATTTTCATTCAGAGTTTTAGGATTTGATCTACAAACCCCTGTTTTTATTTAGATTTTGGGGTTTGGAAATAAAACCTAAACCCATTGTCATTATTTGGAGTTTTGGGTTTGAAAATAAGACCTAAATCCACTGTTATCATTTAGAGTTTGGGGTTTGGAAATAAAACCTAAACCCACTGTCATTATTTGGAGTTTGGGGTTTGAAAATAAAACCTAAAACCCACTGTTTGCATTCAGAGTTTGGGGTTTGGAAAAAACCCTACAAACCCCTGTTTGCATTTAAGAGTTTTGGGGTCTAGAAATAAAATCTAAACCCCCTGTTATTGTTTGGAGTTTTGGGGTTTGGAAATAAAACCTAAATCCACTGTTTTCATTCAGAGTTTTGAGGTTTGAAGATAAAACCTACAAGTCATTAGTTTGTATTTAGAGTTTGGGGTTTGGAAATAAACCCCAAATCCACTGTTTGCATTTAGAGTTTGGGGTTTGGAAATAAAACCTAAATCCACTGTTATTAATTGGAGTTTTGGGGTTTGGAAATAAAACCTAAAACCCACTGTTTGTATTCAGAGATTGGGGTTTGGAAATAAACCCTAAATCCACTGTTTTCATTCAGAGCTTTGGAATTTCGACCCGTTTTCACTCCCAGTTTTGGGGTTTGAAGCTTTTGAGGTCCCAGAACAAGTCCTGAAAGCCCCAAACTCTCCTCAAATCCTCCTCCTCTCCCAATCCCAGTGTTCAGGACCCACATTTCCACCTCCTGACCCCACCACAACCCTTCCTTTTCCCGGGAAACCTCCGGGAACCGTTCGATTTCCTCGCGTGGGATTTTCCCGGATTCACTTCCAAGGAGGGAAAATAACTCCCAGGGGAGAGGGATTGTGGTGCTCAGGGAATTCTTTCCCACCTGTCCATAGATCCTGTTGGGTTTCTTGCCCCTGCAGCTGAGCAGGGCCCACCTCTTGTACTTGACGTTGCAGACGTGGACGTCGTTCCCGTTGCTCTCCCCGAAGGGGATCCCGGTGCCTCCAAAAACCAGGAGGTTGTTCCCGTGCAGGACAACTGGGAGAGAGGGAG